CTGCAGAGCCATCACCCAGCAAAATCACTGTATAAAGGCAATATGGCAGAGAAGGTAATAAAGTCCTCCAAATAGCAACAATCCCTCACTGAATCTTTCAAGCAAACATACCCAACTGGTTCAGAGAGACACATAAAACAACAAAGACAGTGCAGCCGTTTATTGCTAAAGATTTGCAGCCATTTTTGGTGATTGAAGATGCGGACTTTTGTCATCTTATAAAAGCACTCGATCTGCGTTGCATACTACAGTCTCGAAATTTTTCAGCACCGAGATAATTAAGATGGTTTATTTATGTTTACTTAAGTACAAATATGTTTATTTGAAATGGCCAATTAATCTTTATTAACTTCACATGTATGTTTATTTTCAAAGTGTAGGATTTTATGTGTTCCCCAGTTTGTACATGGGCTACCCACAGCTGTGAGATTTTAGTGTTAATATTTTTTTTTTATACAATACACAAGGAAATTGTGTACTTTTCTTGGCTTTTAAGTAAAACAAAATGAGTATTGCAATAAATATTTTTTTTTCTCCTTAACCTCTTACTGTTCCTATTGCCTATAGAATAAAAAAAAAAACAAGTGTCAAGCCATGAGAACCAAACCGAACCAAAAACCGTGTTAAAAAAACGAGGTATGTATTGAACTGTGGGCTAACTGTATTGCTGCATCACTATTACAAACTGCATTGTACATAAATCAGATGAACATTTTCACATCAGTCAATAATATTACTATAATTAATTTGTAATGTGATGTAATGTGTGTATTTATATAGCGTGTTCATTGTGTATGGCCATGCACTCAAAGCGCTTCACATTCATGAGGGGGGGGGGGACAATGGTGCCAGTGCGCTCACCACACACCAGCTATAGGTGGAGTGGAGAGACAGAGCCAATTCAATGGATGGGAATGATTGGAAGGCCTTGATCGTTAGGGCCGATTGAGGGACTTTGGCCAGGACACCGCGGTCACACCTCTACTCTTTTATGAGAAGTGACATGGGATTTTTAATGACTTCCAAGAGTCAGGACCTCGGTTTAACATCTCATCCGAAAGACAAAATCTGCTGAGACGGAATTTAAAAACTGACTAAATAAACATTTACACACATTTACTCAGTTAAATAAACAGAATTAACGATGGGCTACAAATCTGGCGCGCAGATTCCGTGTGGGCCTAAGTTAACTTGGGGTGGCACAATGGCGCAGTGGGTAGCGTTGTCGCCTCACAGCAAGAAGGTCACTGGTTTGAGGCCCGGCTGGGTCAGTTAATATTTCTGTGTGGAGTTTGCATGTTCTCTCTGTGTTGGCCGTGGTGTATGAGAGTGTGTGTGAAATTGTGAGTGTATGGGTGTTTGCCCAGCACTGGATTGTTACTGGAAGGGCATCCGCTGTGTAAAACATATGCTGGATAAGTTGGCGGTTCATTCCACTGTGGCGACTTATGAAAAATAATCGATTAAGTCAAAGAAAAATGAATGAAGAAATGAACAAAAATATTTGTATTCATGACTTTTTTTGTCCTATTAATTTTTTTACAGTCTACTAAAGTGTTACCGTATATTTAAATTGGGTTGTTTTTGCATCTTTAAAGGCCACCTATTTCACACCTTTTTTAAGATTTAATATTAATATTATGGTTCTTCTGAGTGTGCCAGTTTAGGTTCAATTCAAAACACAATTCAGATTTGTTATTCTAATGTGTTTAAGAGTCATTTTGGGGGGTGTGCACACAGCTCGTTTTTTTAGGGGTGTGTTGCTTCACATGAAAATTAGTTTCAGCTTCCCACCCAACTTAACAAGGGGGCGGAGCCAAGAGCTCATCCGCTTTGTGGATCCGCATGTTAAGTGTTGACGTGTTTGTGACGTATGTAATACTGTTTCCGGGTCCAAGCCGCCATTCATTTGAGTGAAGGTATCATTTGTTTATAATCACGTTTTATTCCTGTCACACATTAAAGTTAATTTTATATAAAATCATAGTGTACACAACAATCTCTGGGCTTGCTGCATAACAAATACAAACATTTTCACAATTTATCAAAAAATTAATCACTTTCTGGCCATCGGGTATTAGGCATGGACATATATACTGCGATCGTGATTTTCGAAAGCCTTAAATCGCTTTGTAAGCGTTTATTATTACCATTTCATTAGTCTCCCCATTCAGTTAAATAGAGCGATTGGACCCGGAGGCCACTTCGTGTGACGTCACACTTAACAAGCGGATGGGAACAGACAGGCAGACAGAGAGATGCAACATGAGTGAGAGGACCAGCGTTCAGCCGTACATGTACGACCTAGACAGAGACTAAGCAGAGACTACTGTTGAGGAATCGATATTCCTAATGTGCCAGAATATGTGTAAGTATCAAAATAAGTGGCAGTTACAAAATCATTTGTTTCATTCTTGTTAAAAGTTACAAAGACCCACCTCAAAAGTAGGGCCAAACGTGCTTTTGCCATAGCAGGTCCTCGCCTCTGGGACTCTCTGCCATTAGATCTAAAAAAGGCTTCGTCGCTGCCTATTTTCAAGTCTAAATTAAAGACGCATTTATTTTCTAGGTCTTTATGAAGCATAAGTCCTTCCCTTTTGGGGGGGGTGGGGGGGGGGTGTTGGGAGTGGGGAGGGGGATTAAAACGGTCATGTTCTCTATCGTGTTTAGTGTTGGTCAACTGTGGTAGCATCTTTTAATTAGGAAAAATATAAATTTTTATTATTATAATTTTTTTTATTTTGCTCTTTTATTGATAATCTTTTTATGTTCCTTCCTATTATGCGATCATTGCTGTTTTTACTGTTTTATGCTCATATCATGTGTTTATTTTCTCTCTGTAAAGCACTTGTGGCAGTTGGAAACGTGCTATATAAATAAATAGAACTTGAACTTGAATTTGTGTCTTGGTTTAGCCGCTATGTAACGATGCATGCGTCATCCTTATAGGGATGTAATGATTTACCGGTTTCACTATTGACAGTGCTTTAATTCGTCACGGTTAATTAATCGTAAAGGCTTCTTAACACTGTTTCTACACGGAACAAAACTGCGGCAACTAAACAAAGTGATGCCAACTGTGTACTAGTTTAAAGTTCCGAGCTTACACACCGAAACTAAAAACCACAAACACTGGATTAACTTTGACTGAGGCTATAACTAAGGCAAATTCGTTAATTCCAATGAGGGACGTGCAATGGAGGGGCGAGCATGTGAGGCAACGCGTTCACACTTTCGCACCTGTTCGCACCTGACAGGGAGCTTCTGTGACTGTGGGAAATGCAAACAGCTGAAGTTTTAGGAAGGGGCAATGAAAAGTACACGTTTGCAAACCCACCTAAAGTTACAAACAATGGCGCAGATGAGAGCGATCATGTGGTGAATGTTGATCCACCAGCAGAGATCAATCGATTGTTTGAGAGAGAGTGCTGAAAGACTCTGTGGATCAGCTGTTTTTAATGGCCCGAATCTCAATACGTTGCATTCACTGCGTGTTCAGCGCAAACGGCTGCTAAATGTAAAATCTCTGTTGCTTATTCGCAGGAAGACAATAGCCCCTTTCACACAGTGATACCGGTAAATATCCGGAAAATTTCCGGAATGACTTTACCGGTATATTCAAAAAAGCGATCTTCACACAGGCGAGGACGTAACGGAATTTTTCCGAAAAAGAGCATTCACACATCCATCCCAAAATGCCGGTAAATTCTGACATCATTAACCAGAAATGACCACTAAACGGCTGCACTTGTGTTTGTAAACATTTGACTGCATTAAAAACTCTTTGGATGGATCAGTATAGTGAACAACTCCAATGAAAACATAGAGAAACACTTTCGCATGTCGAGATGTACATGATATGTGTGTGTGTGCTGGCGCTACGGGCGCTCACGGGCACACGCAGAGCTTGAAGGTAAACAAACAACGGATTATCATAAACATTTTATCGATAATTATTTACACAGTTAGCATTAAGGAGGAACATAGAAACATTATCTGACTAACATCTAGCAGCTAAAGGTGTCTGGAAAAAATATTCAAAGGCTTTTATTCTCATAAACCGCGCGCACGTGAATGCGTCTGACTGTTCTGATTGGCTAAAGCAGGTGTCTCACGTCAGCACGTTCTAGACGTGGACGCACTTATTACGGCAATCTTCCTTCTGCATTCACACAGCGCAGCATTCCGGCAAATTACCGGTAATGTTACAACTTCTCTTTCTGGAAAATAGCCGGAACGAATTTACCGGTATTTTTTAAAAAGGGCCTGTTCACACATACAACCTTTCCGGAAAATTGCCGGTAATTTTCCGGAAAGGTCTGTATGTGTGAAAGGGGCTAATGAAGGCTCTTGTGTTGAGCCCAGTGAGCCTTACATCTTAAATAGAGCTTAAAGGGTGCTTCTTTTAGTGACATCGCTTTGACTCACATGCTGAAAATGGCGGACGTGAAACAACAAACTTAGGATATGGTAATGCGCACCTGTCTATCAATATTTGTTGGTGGAGGGACTGCACTCCTACGTCAAGTTGCGGTCAATCTCAAAACCGCTCCAATTGGTCCACCAATTGATGTTGTTAAATTTAAAAAAAGGACTGGTTGTGTTTATATCACCCCATTATGGCTTTCTATACAATATACCTACACACATATCTGCCCAAACAGCTTGAAAAGTAGATTTTTCACCATAGGTGCCCTTTAAAGTTTTTGCAAATGACATTTTTATAAACCACACACAGACTAGTCATTGAAATACCATGAGTGTTAACTATCAAACTAAAGGTTAACCATCCAGCTATGTTAGCTGCGACCTGGGAATTCAGATATTGCAGCTCCCTAATAAGTACACGCCGTGATCTTGAGAGTCCCTAAAGGGAAACCCGTCAAGCCCTCGAGTCCTGAACGAGACTCTAGAGAGATTGAGCTGCAGTCATTATATTGTATATGGCAAAAACAACAAGACTTTCTAACAGTGCTGTTCTCTCTGTTCCCCTAATCCAGCTTTGAGTAACTTCTAGTACAGGCCGATCAGGATGAAAAGATGGCGACCATGCTCTTACCAGCGGGTCCTGATGGCTTGCGACCGTTCACTCGAGAGTCTCTGGCGGCCATCGAGCAGAGGATCAGCGAAGAGCGGGCCAGGAACACTAAGGATTACAAGGCGGACCCCGGGGATGTGGAGGAGCCCAAACCCCGCGCTGACCTGGAGGTCGGGAAGGTGCTGCCTCGCATCTTTGGAGAAATCCCTGCCGGACTGGTTGGAGTCCCGCTGGAGGACATCGACCCATTCTACTTCAGAAATCAGAAGGTGAGTCAGACTCCAAACAAGGTATCATAAGTTAAATTTAAGACATTTTTTAAGACCACTAGGAATCAAGTTTTAGACTTATACATGTTTTTTTTTATATCACGTAAAAAAAAAAATAATTTAATACATTTAATAATACAATAATAATTTAATAATAATAAATAAGGTCAGTATCCTCAGCTGCAGTGTTGGGCACATTCCTTTTTCAAGAGTAATCACTTATAGTTATTAGGTCCTATCACAAATAGTCACTGAGTTACATAATTATAAAATAACTAGTCACCAGGGAAAGCAACATTGCGTTACTTAAATTCTAATTTGCCAAATGATTATAATAATTAATAATAATTAATAATAATTCCTTACATTTATATAGCGTTTTTCTGGGCACTCTGATGCGCTTTGATAGTGGTGGATCTCCTTATCCACCACTAGAGTGCAGCATCCACCTGGATGACGCGACGACAGCCATTTTGCGCCAGACCGCACACCACACACCAGCTGATTGGTGGAGAGGAGACAGTGATGAAGCCAATATGGGGATGGTTAGGAGGCCATAATGGACAGAGGCCAGTGGGCAGATTTGGCCAGGATGCCGGGGTTAAACCTCTACTCTTTTCGAAGGACATCCTGGGATTTTTAACGACCACAGAGAGTCGGGATCTCGGTTTAACATCTCATCCGAAAGACGGCGCTCACTGAGCAGTATAGCGTCCCCATCACTATAATAGGCCATTAGGACCCACACAGACCGCCCCCTGCTGGCCTCACTAACACCACTTCTGGCAGCAACCTAGCTTTCCCATGTGATCTCCTATAAAGAGAGATATAAAATGAACTATAAAATGAAGCTAAAATATTGTACACTAATCTTTACTATTTCAATGTTGTTGTTGTGGGACAATGTAAGAGACAACCATCAAATTCAACATATCGTTGTAAACAGGGCTTGACATGAACTTTTTTGATCACCAGCCACTGTGGCACGTAGTTTTTCAACATTACTAGTTCGGCATTTTCACTAGCCACAATTCTGTTGTTGGAAAAATATATTTTATATGCATAAATATGAATTTGACATGCTAAACTTACTTGATTTAGATTTTGGGTGCTTTCACACCTGCCTTAATTAGTTCGATTAAATCGCACTAGAGTTCGTTTCCCCTTTTGGAGCGGTTCGTTTGGGCAGGTGAGAATGCAGCAATCGTACTTGAGTGCGCACCAAAAGCGGACCAAATAAGCGTACGAGACCTGCTTGAAGAGGTGGTCTCGTTATGCTTTCAGTCGAACCCTGGAGCGGTTCGTTTGTGGTGAGAATATGACCCGTACTAAAACAGGTCCAACCACAAAAAGTACAGCGCGTTTTGGACTAATTCAGCTGCCGTACGCCGATGCCCTGTGCATTATGGGATATGGAGGAAAAATATTTGTTGACCAACAGAGAGAGAGATGAAAACATTACCTGATGGATCGTTGGTAATATTTCCGCAAGATGACCATGTCGCAGTTTAGCTAAATTAATTCACGCCTCCTCCTGAAGTGATGAGCGATGCATTAAACACTGTTTTCCAGCCGCGGCCGCGCTTCATTTTCGTAATGTATAGTTTGTCTAAAGCAGGGATGCAATCAGCCAGCGCAGTCGTCCCTCCAGAGTAAAAGGTTTTGTTTATCTGCAGGAGTTCACTGGCATTTTCCCGCACGTGAATTCTGACCAATCAATAAGCAGTTTAGGAAATATGTTCAACAACATCTGGCCAATGAGAGATGTGGATTTTGTCAGATGACTGCATTTTGGTTTGTTTCAACTGGTTCGGACCAAAGCCAGCAGTGTGGTGTTAAAACGACCCAAAGACGGCAGAAGATGCAACAATGTATCATTTATTACACTTGGTCCGGACCAAATGAAGCGAACTACAGATCTGCACATCTAGATTCTTTGCTTGCAGGTTGAAATGTTTTGCTTGTGAGTTGAAAAGTTTTGAACCCATAAATGCCAGGGTTAATACTGTCTTTATTATTCAAACAAACATATGAAGTTTTTGACCAAAATTAGGTACAATGCAATTAAAAAATAAAAGAATTCAAATAATTAAATTTTTTTTTTTAAATTCACACTGCAAAAAATAAACTATTGCCATTTTATGCAGTTACCACCATATTAATTCATTGTGTGCTCATTCATTTTGCTTTCGGTTTTGTTTCATTTTTGCGGATCTAAAATCTTTGCTTTTGAGTTGAAAAGTTTTGCGAGTTGAAAACTGCAGCTCAGTGGGCGGGTTCTTCTGAAACACCTTATTCTATTGGTCATCTTGATTGAGGTCACAGGTTGGCCACGCCCATTACATTTTTGCGCAGTTGGTGAGCAGCAGGTCTTCTTTAAGGTAAGTTAACTGAAACTGTATAATAATAAAGACACAAAATTAACCCCGGCATTCATGGATTCAAAACTGTTCAACTCACAAGCAAAACATTTCAACCTGCAAGCAAAGATTCCAGATGTGCAATAAAAGACAGAAAAATTAATGAGTGTGCAATGAAAATTGTGGTAACTGCATATTAGGACAATTGTTTATTTTTTGCAATCCAAAATATTTTATTATCATTGACATAAGTTTTTAAATTAAACGTGTTTTTTTATTTCAAATCTTACATTTTTTAATTACTACGTACATAATTTTTCTTTAAAACTAAATATTTTTGATTGAATATTAAAGAAACAAATCTAGCTCCATACGAGAGGCAAAGAAGGCCATGTCAAATGTCAAATTACTGAGCCTACATATAGGAGTCTGGGGAAAAACGAACTTAACTTTAGAAGACAATATGAGATGGCATTAAGTGTTTTTTTTTTTACATCTAAACTCTTCATTTTTACAGTTCAGTAAAAAGAGAGTAAAGTTGATGAAGTTAATAACCTCTTATATATTCTCAATCTTCAGACCTCAAACTGCATAAACATATATATTTTGTTTCTCCAAAATTGGTGTTTTAGAAAAAAAAAATACTGCCTATTTGTCAACTACTCGAATGCATCTTAATGACAGCAGAAAGTGCAGTAAATGAACTCTAATGGACATCAGGTTCATGTTTTAGAAGGTAATTGCAGCAGTGCTTCAATACACAGATGCATTTATGTGAGTGCAGGTAATGATTTTTGTCATGGGTGGCGATGAGTGATGTGCATCTGCATTTTGTTGAAAACATTTTCCATCTTTTTATAAATCTTCAACCTTGATTTGACCTGGACGGACACATTTGCATACTGTACTACAAGCTTAGAGGTCACAATATACACCACATAAAATGAGGAGGGCCACAAGTTATAATTTACATTATAAGACTTTATTTAATTTATGGAGTTTTACTGACTTTAAAAGCTGTCCGGTGGGGCCTGTTTCTATTTAAAAATGAATACTGAACATTATTCATTTATTTTCTTTTCGGCTTAGTCCCTTTATTAATCTGGGGTCACCACAGCGGAATAAACTGCCAACTTATCCAGCACGTTTTACGTTGCGGATGCCCTTCCAGCCGCAACCCAAAATGATACATTATGTCTTGTTTTTATAGTTTCACTCTAGGTCTAAACAACATTATTGCCAGAGATGCATAAAGTACTAGAGACCCAGACTTCAGTAAAAGTACAAGTACTCTATGAAAAAGTGACTCGAGTAGAAGTTGAAGTGCTCTTTAAGTGCTCTTTAAGAAAGTAATAAAGTATTCAACATTTTGTGTGCTTAAGTGATGCAAGTAGTTCATTTCAAAATGTACTAAAGTACTGAAAGTACAAGTATTGTGTAATGTAGTTGTTAAAGAAAGCAGTCAAAAGACCTCATATTGTTTTGTTTATTTTAAATATCTTTTTTTTTTTTTGGGGGGGGGGGGGGGGGGGGTGAAGCAGAGTGAAAAGAAACAGGGCTTACGATACTGTTTTTCTCTCATGCTTGAACCATAGATCTGAGATTATAACAGCTTTAACACACACCTTTCAATGTTGTGTGTCTCAAAAACACTCCGTAATCCACTCAAAACGCTATTGAAACCCATTTTCAGATCGCAAATTACCGGTTGTAAACGCTGTAAACGGAAGTTCTAAACATTCTACCGGAAGACGCTGGTCACTATGGCACCCTCCATGCAGCAGCCAAGAAAAAGGTCTATAATTGTAACAAGTAGATGTGTAAATCTACACTGGTTTCACAGTTTGGTTCAGTTACGATTATCATGCCATTGATTCGGTTCAATTCTATATATTGGTGCACTGACGATGCTTTCCATACATAATTTGATTTATTCTTTAAAACACAACAAAACAATCTTTTTATTTTTGTCGATTAATTTTGTGGCTAAAAGGTATCGGTTCAGTCTCCGTTTTGGCATGGGTACCGTTTTAAAGGTATCGATTTAGCACCAGTATCGGAAAAAACCCAAACGAAACGATACCCAACCCTAAGATATATATATATATATATATATATAGCTCCAAGCTTGGCCAACACACCTGAGCCAAATAATTCGGACCTGAACAGCACTTGATAATTTCACGCAGGTGTGTTTGAGTCTGCTGGAACATAGATCGCCTGGAACAGAATAGCTCTACCTTGATTTAGATACACAAAAATCTACACACACAAATATATTTTATAAATATGAACTTTCATTTCAGATGCGATCAATTGCAATTAATTGTTTTACAGCAGTAATTGAAATACAAAATTTGAACAATGTCTCTATGTGTGATGGTATAACTATAATATAAGCGTATTAAATGGTCTGTTTAATATAAACCATTTTAAATCCATTATAAGGAATTATTGCACAGCTAAGCTGTAATGGCCACTCCACTTTGTTTGAATGAAACATTAGCCCGTATCCTTATCTCTTCTACTTCTAAGTTCATTTAAATACACTAATACCGGCCTATTTGGCTTCGTATACATTGTGCTATTACTGTGTAATAAAACAATGTACATTTAAGTTCAGAACGTTTCATTTACCTATCACCTGTCTTTTTTTGTCATGGATTATTAGACCATTACTGCTTTAAAGAATCCACTGCATTCATTTGATCAAACATAAATCTAAACAGCAATGTAATAAAGTAATAGTACAATTTAAAATGATGCAAAGTTGTAGTTTCGGTAACACTTTATAACACGTTTGCATTAGCTAGTTATTATTAACATGAACAAACAATGAACAATACATTTATTACACCATTTGTTCATGTTAGTTAAGGTTAGGCATAGATATATACACTAGATATCGCATAGGGACCCTGAGCATGCGTCAATAGCGCCGCCACATTGGTACAGTGCTCCCAGGACAAATGTCATTCAACCGCACTAGTCAAGACAGTGTTATTACGTGAAGATGCGGGACTTTAGCGCTGTGTACGGGTGTAGTAACGAGCAAACAAGGAAAACGAAGCACAAAGGCAGAACATTTCATAGGTAAGATTAAGTTTTTTTCTGTTTATGTTTGTTCTGAACTTTTGTGCTAATCAGGTTACGTTATTGATGATGACAGTCACTGCATTCACCATACGGCAAAGAAGCTCCAACTCGCACTAAACACTCGGCTTATGCTAATTTTGTTGAATAAAATCAGCAAACAATGCAAAAGAAATATGACAACGAGATGCTGCGCTGCCAGAAACTTGTATTATTGTCAGCTAACGTTAGTGAAAGAGTCGTTCGGGGAATTCATTCACAAACGATTCGCTCTCTCCTTCAGTATGAGAAGTGAAAGCAGGAAAGGAGGTGTGTTTCAGGGCACGGATTAGATTAAATTTAACAGGGAGGGTGAATAGTACATTTCTGTACACACAAACACAAGCTTTTTGGCAGGAATGGCCGCGCGGTCACTGATCCATCAATGTAGAAAAGTGATGTAAATTATAATTTTCGTAATTAGGAAAAAAAATTTACATACTAACATCCAGGAAAACTCCCGATCATGGATATATGTGTATATCTCTGGCTTTGGATGGCCACAGTCCTCCACTGTATCCCGCATTCATTTCAAAGGAGCGCTACCCTGTAGCTAGATGGCGGTGCTATTGACGCATTCCGTCCACTAGACAACTATAAGCCAGGCGACATCTAATGTATATATCTATGAAGGTTAGGTAATGAAAATACAGTCGTTCGTTGTTAGTTCATTAACTCACATGCTTTAACTAATGTTAACAAGGATTAATTTGTATGTTAATAATGCATTAGTAAATATTCATCCATGATTGATAAATGCTGTATACATGTATTGTTCATTATTAGTCATGTTAGTAAATACATTAACTAATGAAACCTTATTGCAAAGTGTAAACATATTATCAGTATCTTCAGAAATCATTGTAATATGCAAATTTGTTGCTAAAGATTATTGTAATTAGGATGTTTTGTTTGGAAACTGCTGTCTTTATATGCAGAACAATGACATTTCCTTTGCCCAGACTGACTGTTTCTCTTCTCTTCTCTCTCTTTTTTTTTACAGACCTTTATAGTACTAAACAAGGGAAAAGCCATCTTCCGCTTCAGTGCCACATCTGCACTCTACATATTCAGTCCCTTTCACTGCATTAGAAGAATCTCCATCCGAATCCTCGTCCATTCATATCCTTCCACAGCCTGAGAAGATTCAGAAGTCTTCTCTATGTGTGCAATGTTTACTTGCTTGGAGAATTACAGAGAGATTTGCTGTGTTTACAGCCGTGCTTGTGATTTACGTTTAATAACTTTCAACCCCCTAAGCTTCTCTAGAAACACAGCTGCACTGATTTCTTTTTTTAATACGTGAGACATTTTATAATCATATAAATCTGTTTTGCAAAAGCACCCTTCTGAAAGGTATTTATGGAGGAGCCAGGCAGGCTATTTTTGACCTTATAGTACACATGAAATCAAAACTAACCCTTTTAATTTTGTTAGCTTACATTGCTTGCTTTGTATGATTCATCTGTGCATGTAATTAAGCAAAGAGAAATAGTTTGCTCTTGTAATTGAAATCTGAAAGTGCTCTTCATGTTTGTTTCTCTGTTAAACTCTCAAATTACGTGTGTCTGAGGTATTGGGCGGGGCTAACATGCTTAACCACGCCTCTCCAACTGTCAAGTTTGACATCGCTATGACAACAAACAGAAATGGTGAGGAGGAGGTGTCTGTTAGGTTGTAACAAAGAGCTTAGAATGACCAAGGGGCGACACTCAATAGAACATTCCATTGCAACAGCAGCGCCCAGCAACAGCCTCGTGATTCCGCCATTTTAGAGTGAAAGTGATCGGCTGTCCATTGGATCTTATTGCTGTTGCGATGGCGAGCAGCTGCTTTGTTTTTTATTTATTTATTTAAAAAGCGCATTAAAGCTGAGATACAACCTGAAAGATAACAATACAACACTTACTATCACAGTTATCAGCCCTTTTAATAGTTTATTTTACGGACTTATAATTTGCTGTTGTTCTATTGGAGTTTTCATTCCAAAATGGCCATCGCACGGTCCAGTGGCGGTTTCCCAAATTGCACTAGTGTTGTCTCTTGGTGATTCTATGCTCTTTGGTTGTAATAACACTTGCGAAAACCATTTCCTGAATTTTTGCCTACTTTAGCTCGCAGTAGAAAAAGACACGCCCAATGTTTTGTCATTCAATATTCCATTTCTCTAGTAACTGTGTCCTAATACAAAAAAAAAAACAATAGTTGCAGCTTCCGGTTCATGTGGACTCATAATTAAAATCTGCATTTTTTTAACAAAACAAAACTAAACAAAATACAAAGCAAAACACAAAAAATAAAAAATAAATCAAACCAAAAAACAAAAACTAAACACAACAAAAAACTAAACACTGCAAAAACAAAACTGAAAACAAAATAAAAAACTAAACAAGACTAAACAAAATACAAAACAAAATAAAACAGAAAAAACTAAACACAACAAAAAACAAAACAGAAAACAAAACAAAAAACGAAACATGACTAAACAAAATACAAAACAAAACAAAAACTAAACACAACAAAAAACAAATCACAAAACAAAACACAAAATAAACTAACCAAAAACCCAAAGCAAAAAACTTAACAAAAAACAAAACTAAAAATAAAAAAAAAAACTAAAAAAAAAACAAAACAAAAAAATAAAACAAAACTAAACAAAAAACTAAACAAAAAAACTGAACTAAACTAAAAACTAAACAAAACAAAAAATAAAACTAACTGAACTAAAGAAAAAACTAAACAAAACAACAAACAAAACAAAACTAAACAAAAAATAAAACAAAACAAAAAACAAAACAAAAAAACTGAACTAAACAAAAAACAAAGCAAAACAAAACTAAAAAATAAACAAAAACCAAAAAAACTAAACAAAACAACAAACAAAACAAAACTAAACAAAAAACTAAACTAAACAAAATACAAATGTGGGTGAAAGATCAGAGGCAAAGATGAGAATGCCATCAACTATGATTATTTACAGTATAGGATCCTGCGCAGCGAGGTTGCAGAAAAAAAAAAAAAAACGGGAGCGCTAGCATTTACAGTGAGGGAATGACATCCGATGCGGTACAGAGTTTGTTGTTGTTTTAGAGATAAGTTATATTGATTACATATTATATATATATATATATTATTGACATAATGCTTTCAGCACATTATAACAGCTTGTCACCCAATGATAAGCACAGTGATTCGGCTAAATTAACGCTAAAGTGAGCGGCGTTCATCTGACAGGTCCATTTGCGATAACACCCTCCCAATGGATATTGGATAAGATGAAATGGCCAAGCATCCAGCCCCAAATATACAACTATCTCATTAAAGCTCCAAGTGTTTCCACAAAAGAGAAGTTAAAGGCCTACAAGTTTTTGGATGCCAACAATGTTGTTCTGTGTGGTCATATGCAAGAAATAATGTTCCATGACGACCACATTCAAAACTATGTAGTGCTAAAAAACCGAGGTTCTGCCTAGCCAAAGACAAGGAAAGAAGACGGAACTGTTCAAGGCCTGGGTATTCATCAACAAGCAAAACTTCTGCATTCTGACTGTGAACTGCACCTGTACTGCAGGGTATGTGAACTTACACTTGTTCATTTAATTCTAAGCATTCAGTATCCGCAGTTCAATACACCATATTTTTGCTGAAATCATTGCTGCAATCAAAAACGAGTGAAGTGTATGATTCAGCACAGCGTGAACTTACCTGATATAACATGAAAACTGCAGAGTCCAGCATTTTTTTTTAAGGTCCTCACTCCATTCAGCTCCCTTTAAGCCAAAGACGTCTGCGGTTGGCATTAAAAGCAGTGTGGTGTACGGTAAAAGTTACGTTTTCTATTTTTGGAATTTGGCATCCTTCCGCACAACACGACATGTTTGCTATTGCAACCGGCCTTTTTTTGGAACCCTTTGTGAATCCATGTGTGACGTAGGTTGGCAATTCCTCTATATATCCGAGACTTTATTTGTCAAATATAGGGGATTTACAAAGCCTAAATAGTCCTCACATTAGATTAGGTCACAAAACTAGATAAGGTTAAGTTAATAAAGGATTTATTAGCATAGAAAGTAACTATTAATAATGCCTGAATAATCAAATTTTAATAGTTTATTAATGATTTACTTTCACATTCTGAACGATTAAAGAAAAACAAAAAACACCAACTATTAATAAATAACTGGTTTGTAAATAAAAAAAATAAATAAAAATACGCATACGTGAGGCATGCGTGAACTGGTTATTACTCTAATCATTGTACCTTTACATTTGTGTGATGGTTTGCTTTATACAGCTGAGCGTATAGTCCTAGTAGAGACTCGTTTTGCACCGACCAAGTCCAAAGTAATCAATAACAGAAAACGGGAATTGCTAGTACATAATTTTATTATTATTATTATTATTATTATTATTATTATTATTATTATTATTATTATTATCATTATCATTTCATCAAAATGGTCCATTAATCATGTTTTATATAAAATATATTTAACAATGAAATCAAACAATTATAGTACAATAATTGGTCCCACTTTATATTAAGTGGCCTTAACTAATATGTACTTACACAGGAATTGATAGTTTGTTACAATGTACTTATTGTGTAAATACATGTATTTACTGTGTACTTATGCTTGATAAAATACACATATGTAATCACATTTGTAACTAACTTTTGTAACTACATTTGTAAATACACTGATGACCATCCCTTACACCTTAACCCACCCTTAAACCTACCCATACCACCAAACCTGTCCATAACCCAACCTCTATCCCAACTCAAAAGCCCCACAAGTGTTCTCAAATACATTATAAACACAGTAAGTACATTGTATTTATTTTTTGATGTAAGTACATAGTAGTTAAGGACACTTAATATAAAGTGGCACCCAATAATTAAGTTCATTTTAAGCTATCTCGCGGCCCACCTGCAGGATTGCTGAGGCCCAATAGTGGCCCGCGGCCCACCGGTTGAGAATCCCTGATTTACATTACTTCCAAATATTTAGTTCTAGTTCTAGTTTTAGTATTCTAGCATCTAGTAGTAGTCTAGTATCTATTTTTTCAAGTTCTAGTATTAAAAGCAATAGTTCTAAATACTTCTAAATAGTTTTTATGTAAAAAAATCTTTGTAACGTTTTAAGTATAAGTTACATTAAAAGTACCACCGAATGGTACAGAATAAACAAAAGCTCATGACTTGAGCCAGACAGAATCTGCGCAAATCTGCAGGCTTATTTGGAATGATTTTGGAAGTATCGTAACTAAAAACTTAGCCTTTTCTACTTTTATCTAGTGTTTACAATGCAAAACAAATTAGATCCACTTTTGCTGTAAATAAATAGCATGAACATTTTTATATGTCGATATATTACTGAAATTTAAAAACTGAATAAATATAAATTTACTCAATAAATAGACTCAATGATGGGCTTAAAAAATCAGTAGAGAACTCACGACCCATTTAAAACTGTTAATTATTTCTCATAATGCCTCTAAAATGAAGAGTAATATCATTAAAAGTCTGTGATATATCCAGCTGCTGACAGCGTGGGGTGAATGTCAAATATTTACCATCAGAGCTCTATTGGATTTGGTCTTATTTCTGCAACAGCTCAGTAATGTTGGTCCCTGGCATCGGCATCAAATCCGCTGATATTCCTCTTCTAATTCCCCAAATGAAATAAGAGCAGAGTGATTTGAGGATCACGTGAGCGCTGCACAGATGTTCGGTCATCATGAGCGCAGGTGTCAGGCGAATTTCTGCGGTGGAGAAACAGTTCAATCTTAGTATTGTTGTAAATATGAACATGACAGAGATTTAAAGCAAACTGTATCACAATGTCAGCCCAGGTTACTGTTATAATGCATCAAAACACACATACGGTACATGCTTCATTCTACATTCAGCTTATGGTGACATTCATTAAAGTTAATAAATAAATAAATAAATAAATAAATAAATAAAAATTATATATATATATATATATATATATATATATATATATATATATATATTTTTTTTTTTTACTATTTTTTATATACTTTATATAACTAATAAATAAAATATAATTTATATACTTTATATATATCTGTCACAATGAAAATAACTACAA